GAACTGTGAGTCTAAAAATACCCAGAAGGGTGGCACATGGCCAGGCACAAGCAATTGAACACTGTTTGGAGGAATGGACTGAAGGCCCTGACAGAAATGTTCGAGCTGTGGTGAAATAGAAACCAGAACTCTCCTCTGCATATGGCGGAGCGAGGGTGCTTGGCAGTCCGACTCACACCGGACTCACACTCCATGCCTTCCTGCTGGATATGGGTCATTATGGAGTTTGCTACTTTTAAACTTCTCGGTAAAGCTTTGGGCAAGAACCCAGGAGCATAGGGACCCCTGGGTGGCTGAGTGGTTGGGCATCTCTGCCTTTGGCTCAGGACTTGACCCCCCCGGGGGTCCTGGGATCAAGTCCTGCATCGGGTTCCCCAAAGGGAGCCTGCTTCCCCCTCTGCCTGTGTCTCTGCCTCTCTCTCTGTGTCTCTCATGAATCAATAAATAAAATCCTAAAAACAAAAATAAACAAAAAAGAACCCAGGAGTGTTGCATATTTGCAGGAGCGCTAGGAACCAATAAATGTACTACCGAACAGTATTTCACGACTCATTATCCAGGAGATGCAACAGGAGGATGGTCTGGAGAAGACTTGTTCAAACAAGCCTCCAGCTATGGCCCTGACCCAGTGGCTGCGCGTAGGGAAGGGCTGGGATGTGAGCAAGGTGTCCAGATCCAGGCTTCGCCCTCGGCCGTGAGGACGCTGCCACAACCCGGCCAGAGCTAGATTGACTCCTTTTTCTCCTTTGCCCTCCGTCCTCTGGCCAGAGCAAGAGGAGTGGCAGATTCTTGTGACCTGTCATAAAGGAAGCCCATAGGACCGAGAACCGGATTGTCGCCAGTCTCTGGCAGTTCAAACGTTCACTCACCCTGGCCGTGCTCATGCCGGGCCCAGCTGAGAGGAGAAAGAGCACCAGAGGTTCAGACTGAGTCACATCAGCACCCAAAGCACAGGGTGACGGAGCCCCAGCTGATGGCCCAACGGGACTGCTGACCTTGGGACGCCGGCTTCATAAACACCGCATGCTCTGCGGCTTTGCGCCTAGAAGAGCATCCTATGCTAGATCACCGGAGTGCACGAAGTATGAATTTGAATCTTCAAGGCTTGGTGAAATCAGTCTATTTCTTTACTTACTGTAAGGTAAAGCTTTTTTTTTTCTGTTTTAGGATTTTATTTATTTATTCATGAGAGATACAGAGAAAGGCAGAGACATAAGCAGAGACACAGAGGGAGAAGCAGGCTTCCTGCAGGGAGCCCAATGGGAGACTCCATCCGGGACCCTGGGATCACACCTCGAGCTGAAGGCTACTCAGGTGCTCCACTGTAATGGTAAGACTTCTAAAGAGTCCCTAACATGACTGCACCATGCCGAGCACTGGGGGATGGAAGAAGAAAGAGGTCAGGAGCAAGTTTTGTTTTTCTCTTTTGGAGTCCAAGAAACATTATACAGAAGGAACCTTAATGACCGTCCAGTCCAACCTACTCCTTTCCCAGACAGGAAAAGTGAAGCTCAGAGAACAGATGAGGCTTAAGAATATATATGTTGTGGTTTTCTTTTTTTCTTTTCTTTTCTTTTCTTTTCTTTTCTTTTCTTTTCTTTTTTTTCTTTCTTTCTTTTCTTTTTTCTCTTTCTTTCTTTCTCTCTCTCTCTCCCTTTCTTTCTCTCTTTCTTTCTTTCTCTCTTTCTTTCTTTCTTTCTTTCTTTCTTTCTTTCTTTCTTTCTTTCTTTCTTTCTTTCTTTCTTTCTTTCTTTCTTTCTCTTTTTAAATGAGCTTAATTAAAGTTACTAGTGTCATCCCATTTCCTGGCTTTTCAAATCCAGGACCTAGCCATATCTAACTATTATTCATAGCTTGAATATACCTTAGACTTTCTTACCTCTTATCACTTCCCCCATCACTTGAAAGGCCATATTCCATCTCCCCAACCCTCTAATGTCCTTTTCTGAAATAGTTGTCTTCCGCTAGTGATTAACTCAAATATACCACCTTTTGGATAAAAGCTTCCCTGCCAAAACAGCATTCCTTTCGTCCACAACAATGACAGCACTTACTACTAGACCTATAATTATAATTATAGGAGTGTGCACCTTGCTTATATTTGCTGTGATATAACCAGATAACCTCAACATTGTCTTTAGTTACACTTTACTAATGAGGAAACTGAAGCACAGAGAGTTTAAGTGACTTTTCCAGGGTCCTTCAGCTAGGAAGGGTTCTGATGATTTATTATAAATGTGCTATATACTATCATAAAGTTGATGAGGAAAGAAAACTAGATTATTTAATAACATTTTAAAAATAAATCAATAAACTGATTAATACATTAGGATTGAAATCTTCTAGTTAATAGATACAGAATTCCTAATTTTCACACCTTCCCTGTATCCAAGTTTGGTCAAAAGTATAAGGTACTGCTACTTGAACTTTAATTTCAGGAAGTGGGCACGGCTGTGTATTCTCTCAGGATGAAGTCCAATGACTGTGTCGGAGCCCTGCCCCTCTCACCTGATGTCCATCACTCATTCAGGGTTACCCTGGTCGGCACTACAGTCTTTACGCCTTACACAGAAGGCAGATCTACCCTACTTACTGTGGTTTACCTGAGTCCTTGGACTTGAATGAAACCTATCCCTAGAAGTATGTGCACACACGAGATAGGTTTCATGATGTCTGCCAGATTCTTTAACATGTCTATAAATGACAAATATTAAGAATGGTTGCCACTGTTTGAGAGGCCTTATGGAGGCAGAAGAGTTCCATGACTACGGGGGCAGAAGGAACATTTCTGAAAAGATGAGAATCTGTGGTGGTATAGAATAGTTTTTACTAGCTACAAATAAAATGATTCCTTTTAGGGAGTACTTGCTTGATGAGAGGGTGTGCCTATGCGTGGGTGGTACCACTGTCCTTACAGTGTTAAAGTGGTCGGGAACTTGAGACATTTGCCCATTCCTTCCTGCCACCAACCCCCAGCACTTGACAGTTGAGGAATCTAAGACTAAGACAAATAGAGAGACTCTTCTAAAGCCACACAGTTCAGGGCTGGGATCAACCAGAGTCCAGTGGTCATTCTGGTTCATGATCCCTCCCCCTTACTTCACAAAGCATCCTATTAAAATGTTGGCTTACAAGCAAAGGTCCACACAAAAACCCTATATGCACACATGCCCCGTGGAAGCGATGCTTTGTCGTCTGGCTTCGGTGAATTTGATACAAGAAACAATCCTCTTCTTTTTTTTTCTTTTTTTTTTTTTTGAAACAATCCTCTTCTAATGCTTTCTCTGGTCCCCAGTTTTACGACATTCTATAAGAAGAGGGCTGAACTGTGTACTTTACCCACTAACGATAGAGAATAGGAAGTCGAGGTGACCTACAGTCAGTGTTTTGTTTTTGTTTTTTTGTTGCCACTAAATATCTTTCATTCTTCAATTTCTCTGTTTCCTTTCTACCCCAAATACCTCCGATTGCTGCCCTCAGGACACCAGGAGGTAGAAGATGGTGTAAGCATGAGGATTTATACATATCTCATTTGAACCTCAAGACATCTGTACAGAAGCAAAAAAAAAAAAAAGATAATTCTCATTGTCCTCATATCAAGACTTTAATTTTAGGGTGGTAGATATGGGGACCAAGGTCTTTGGGAGATCCAAAACGCGGGAAACATCTCCCTCCATTAACTGACCAGATGAATTTATGGTATCTTCTGTGGAGTAATTTTAGAGACAGATGTGTATATAATCATCTCTTCTGCCCGGTGTATCTGAAAGCATGCAGAAGCTTTGCTCTTAACAGGGAGAAAACTGAGGTGCAGAGAGCAGGTGACATGTTCTTGCCTACATAAAAAGTAAGATCTCTACCAAAGAGAACTATCACTCTATAGTGTAAAAATGTTTCTCCTAGGGAGGTGTTTATCTTAACCAAACATTACTGTAATGAAACAGCATATTTAATTCATAATTCATGGACTTTTTAATAGGAGTTTCTCTATGTGCTAAGTAATATCTGATAATATCTCTGAAAGAATCTTTCCCCTTTTAAAAAAATAAAGACCTTTAAGAGCTGTGGGAGGGTTTTAATTATTATAAATAGAGGCCAGGATTCCCAGCATCCTCAACACAAAATATGCTCCATTTCCTAGTTGCTTGCCCTCTAAAAAAAAAAAAAATCCCAGTTCTTAAGAAATCAAAGATGCTTTAAGATCTAAAATAATGCTGAATATCAATCATTAGAAAATTACTTTTTCCTCTTATGAGAATTTTACTCTGATAAACATCTCTTTTCAGAACTCTTCTTAAAGATCACTATTCTTAATTAAGCTGAATCAAGAAATTGGTGGCAGGTTGCATGCATTTTGCCCCTGGGATACCTCACCATTTTGCAGGAACCCTAGGGCAAATCTTGTATGAAAAGATCAGAATTGAAGGAAAATTTACAAGTCATCAGTCTAACCCTCTACTCTGAGAGGACTCTGATTTACAACACACCTGACAGGAGACCAAGCAGTATCTACTAGAATACGACCAAAGCCAGGGAGCTCACTACCTCACAATGGTTAGCCTAATCCTTTGTTCAGCAATTCTTAGCATTTTATAGTTGTTTCTTATTTTGCATACAAATCTCCCTACTCTTAACTTTGGCCCTCACTTGGCTTCTGAAGTGACACAGTCTTTTCCTTCATTGCATGTCAATTTTGAGGACTCGATTCATTGCTTCAAGATTTTGTTCCTCATATAAAGCACCTTTAGTTTCTAGCCTTTGTCTTTGTATGCCTGGGGTTGAGAGCCATCAGTATCATCCTTCCCAAAGAAAGTCATTCTCCTCTCAATCTACTATAATTTACTAGTCTCCTTTTAAAATGGGCACCTCAACACATATGCATCTTTGGTAACTTCCAGAAATTGTTGCTGCTGAGAGATAACCCTTGCTTTATAACTAGCCCTTTTCTGGTCACTGTGCTTTCTTTTGGTGATCGTAGGTCTGTGATCTTGAGGACCTACCTTTGCCAAGGTCTCATCATCCAGGTGATTCTTCTGAATCACATGTTGAAGTGCAAAATAGATTTTTTCCTGAAGCTTCTGGACCTTCCTTGGTTCTATCAGCCAGGCTCGGTCTGATAAAGGCAAAGAATTAGGTAAGAAGGTGGTGGGGAATGTGAGCTTTCACCTGCATATATAAGGTGGTGGGTTTCAGACCCATTTCAATCACTTAATTCTAGTTTGCTTCTGAAGACATGTAGTTATTTACATAAATACAGATATTTTATAAGAAATACCTTGATGCCAGTAATGCCAGATACACTGACTCAGGAAAGGAGGATGGAGGGAAGGACCCAATGGTTCTAATTTAAACACCAGCATGTTTCTTATTACCTGTGACAATTTACATCTCTCATTCTTTTTGTTTGTTTGTTTTTTCGGACATGTAGTTAGATTCTTTCAAAGTAAAAGTTAATGACTTGTGAAGAAAATTAATTACAGAAGTAAAAAAATCTATTGCACAGGAATATTTTTGGTATTTAGGATCCCCCTTCCCTTTTATAAGCTATGCTACAATGCAAAGCATAAACCATGAATTAATTTCAAAAATTTAATCCTGTACGCCCATTTGCCACATGGAATTTTTAAATGGTGGATAGAATAATCCCTCCTTTCCTCTCTCCCATCCTACATTCTTCTCTTTTTTCCTTCCTAAATCGTCTTCTTCCTTCCTTTCTTCCTAGAAGCTTTATACACCATGGTGACAAAATTCAGCCCGGCATCAATGCCCCAGGTTGGAGCTTCACTGAAGAGACATCAAGAGTCTCCAAATGCTGAACAAATACTCATGGAAAAGAACCTGGAAATGATCCATCTGAACACGGTTCAGGTCAGGTGAGAAACTCAATTCTGTAATCCTAGCCAGGGTAAGGACAAGTCTGGCCACCAGTTAAGCAAACCCTTACGTAAGTGGGTACAAAAGCCTTCAGTGACAATTGTCAATCAGAATACATTAAGTTCCCCTCCCTCTCCCTTCCCTAAACTATCTGGAGCTGAGCAGACAGTGGCTATTATGACAAGAAATGGGGGAAGGGTGGAGTCTGGCATGAATAGAGACTGCCTTGGTTGAACATCTGTCTTTCCTCTCTTTTTGAATATGACACTAGGCCACGGTGGCAAATGACGTATTTGGAGCTTCAGAAGCCTCTGAGTGTGGGTCTGCTACCAGGGCTGGAAGAGTCTTCACAAGGTAGAGTAAGCCAAATGGTATGCTTCCAAACTCAGTAGCATTTGATGACTAGGGTACGTTCTTTTCGGAAAAAGGCTCATAGGTCAGCTGATTTCTGATCCATAAACAACAGGCCTACCATATGTCTGGGGCAGTTACCTTCATGGATTGCTTAGGTTGGATATGCCATGTCCTAAGAATTTGCTGCTAGGAATTTACTGACTTATATACCTAACAAAGAGATACACCTAACAAAGACAGTAAATTTTGCAGCATTTTCTTTGAACCGAGCAGGAACCAGAATGAAGAAAACACCTCCCTCATCACAGACCCACAGGCTTAGAATGAGTCTTATATTTAACTATATTCCATGAAAATGGTCAAATGCAATGAGAAAATGGAGGAAAATTATTTGGCATGTACTTGCTCTCAGAAATAACTATTTCTTGTCATTTCTCCCATTGATCTTTATGCTTCCAGGCCTGGAAACCTTTGTAGGATTCAAAACAAACAACAAAAACCACCCCCCAAATCCAAAAAAAAAAAAAAAAGAAAAAAAAAACTAAAGGCACAACTTGATTTTAGCCAGAGCCACGCAGAAACGGTTAGTAGTAACATGCCAAGTGATAATTTCCATTTTTGATAACATGGTTAAATAAAAACAAGCAAATTTAAAAATCTTCATAAAATTTAAAAATAATTAGATACAGCCTCACTGACAGAAAGTGTAGAGGCTGTGGGGCACTTGGATGGCTCAGTCGGTTAAGCATCCAACTCCTGATTTCAATGCGGACTGTGATCTCAAGGTCTTGAGATCAAGCCCCATATCAGGCTCTGTGCTGGGCATGGAGCCTGCCTAAGATTCTCTCTCTTCCTCTGCCCCTTCCCTTACCCCCTGCTCTGTCTCTGTCTCTTTCACTCTCTCTCTCAAATGAATAGAATAGAATAGAATAGAATAGAATAGAATAGAATAGAATAGAAGTGTAGAAACTGGTATTGGAATGACATGTTGGTATGTGCAAACACAGGTAAGATTAATTTCTTCCAGCCCCACTGAAAACTCTGTCAGGGTATAAGAAGAGATCTAGTCTCTAAGATAAATTTTATGGAAAGAATGTGTCTCTTGGCCATAAAAATTATTAGGAATATGTTCCAATAAAGAACTGTAAATGGCACTGGTATCCCTTTACCCAAAATCTAACTGAGCAGACAGCTGAGCGACTCTGAGTTCTCATTCTAGTTGAAGAAGGAGCCATGTACTTTTTGGGATTCTAGATATTTTTGAGCTGGCATATACTTTTAAATAGCATTTCAATTGCTGTGGTTCTACTTGATCTATAAATACCACATATTACCTTCTTTAAAAATTTTGGTAATTTTTATTGGATTTTAGAGCTAGAGATGATCTTTATTTTTTTTCTAAGATTTATTTATTTATTTGAGAGAGAGAGAGAGAGAACACATGGGGGGAGGTAGGGGAAGGGCAGAGGGAGAAGGAGAGAACCTAAGTAAACTCAGAGCTGAAGGCAGAGCCCCACATGGGACTCAGTCTCAGGACCTGAAGATCATGACCTAAGCCGAATCAAGAGTCAGATGCTTAACTGGCTGAGCCACTCAGGTGCGCAATGATCTTTAGTATAATGAAGTCCAAACCTATTACTTTATAGATGAGGAGACTGAGTCTCTGTCTGGGGGGCAAGTGTTTAAGGTCACAGAGATAAATGATGTCAGATCTCCGTGCAGGAATGTCTGCGGCCACATCAGAAATTCTTTCTTTTCCAGTCTTCAATTAGAGTAATTTTTCCCTCTGCTGTCCTCACCTCCTTTCAAAGCCTCTAATATTGCTGATTTGGGCAGAAAAGCCAACAAAAGAGTTATTTAAAGAGGAGAAAGTGTACATTTTATTTACTTTTGTCTTCATGCCGGATCTTTCACTTAAACATATTTCTACTAAGTTTCACCTTGCTGGACATTTGTTTTCTGTGTCCTTTATTCTTAAAATCAAAGTAGAATTTAGCCATAACTTAGGCTGTCATTCATCCTCATTAATCTGTTAAGGAAACCTTTTGTTTATCTGGATCTGGAGTGACCCTTACTACTTACCCTACTTTTGCTTGTGGTACAAAATGAGTCATTTTAATTAACTTAAGGCTACTTTCCTTTGAATTGTCCATAAATATCACAAGCTTGCTCAAGAAAATTTAAATTACTTCTGAGTATGTAGGATTGGGTAGGTGTAATACTTGTTAAAGACAGAAAAACTTTTTTTTTTTTTTTTTTTTTTTTTTTTTTTTTTTTTTAAGGACAGGACCTCAGACCTCCTTACCTGGAGATATCAGAACAGCAGATGAGAACAAAGCAATCTCCTCCTCAGTCAGCTGCAAGGAACACAAATTCTTTGCAAAGTCAAATGCTTCATTCACTAGGTCATCGGAACCTATAAAAGAAGGCAAATTAAATGAGAATACTTGAAAGGGATGGGGCAATAGAAAGAAAAGCCCCATAATCAGAAGGGTATTCAAGGATTGGCACACGAGGCAAAGATATTTCCAAGTTCCTAATAATTACAGAATGAAGAAACTGGGCAACATCTCCATCTAGTACTGAAAGTTAACATTACCAGTGAGGGGCTGATGGGAATGGTGTGTGCCCACTGTAATACTCAACTGGGATTATATAAATTAAACCTAATCTTGTACGTTTGAAATTAGTTCCAACTAAAAAAAAATTAAGTAAGTGATTTGGGGATTCTTCAGTAGAGAGAGCATTCGGAGAAAGCTGAAAACAGGATGTAAGAGGGGCCAGGGATTGTCAGTTTTCATGGTGCTGGAACTTGGCAATGTAGAATGTCCAGAGGCCTCAAGCTGAGATGTTATAAACTCCTTTTAGAATGAAGAGGAGGTAGCTTTTGAGTTGGTAACTTCCCTGAAAATCTCACTGAGGGGCAGGCATTCATTTATTTTTACCTTCTGATGGATGCCTCGTAGGTCAGTTGCTTAGCAATTGTGAATTTTGGCAAAATAATGCTTCATCCCTACACTGATCCTTGGTAAATGTTTATTTTATGAGGCTGGAAATATACCCAAGTTGCTTGCCAAGGCTTTTCCTCCTTTCTTGAAAATCTAGCCTTGTAGATGACATGGATGTATATCAACTGTAGAAGGGAAACATTGCCAGCCAGACAGACTTGCTGTTGGCTACCCTATCAACTGACAGCACAGAAGGTGAAAGGGCACCAGCCTTCTGCGATGTCCATGGGCCAGATATGGAACAAATGGAACTGTCAATTGTTAAAACCTTTCCTGGCATCGGCCCATCTTTGCTAATGTTCTTATCTGCACTGTGTACTGATGCCTACATGTGGATGATACCCAACACTTCCAGAGACTGACCCTGTGCATGCCCACCCACAGGAATGGTCTGGGAACATTGGGGCAGCTTGACACCCACTCTACCTGTGCTCCCAGAACTTCATGAATTAACAGGTAGAAAGTCACTGCTGTGGGTAAGAAGCAAGTGAAGGAGCTCTTCTTTTAATTAAATATCTTAACTAATGATTATGAATTTATAGAAGACACTTAAGAGATCACCCGTGGACCACCAGTGGTCTGCCTAATATACTCTGTGAGGCAGTAAGATAGAAGGGAAAATAAAAGTTGAACCTACAAAGAATAATCTAGCATGCATCTCAGCTCTTTCAGAACTGGTCTTCGTTGATTTCTGGATGAGGTATGGTTGATTTTGACAGTATCCACTGTCCTCTCCTGCCCCTCATAATAGGATGCATAACTGTGATCTAAGATCTCAGGGGTTAGATAAAACATTGGAGGCTCACCTAGTCTAGCCCTTATCCAATGAGATGCTAGTTCACATTCAGAAATCAAGGCATTTCACTTCCCACCTTCGATCCAAGTGGAGAAACTGACCACAGCTAAGAAAACTATGTCACCATCAAAGGTAAACTCACCTAAGGCCTTGAACATCTGCATTCCTCCATATTTTCCTTCAAACAGAACAGTGTTGTTTAATGGGTTGAAGGCACGGCACATTCTCACTAAAACCACTTCCAAGCAACCTATGAATAAGAAAATAAAGAAAATATGTATATATGTGTGATAATAAAGAAGTTATTATTGTATATAGTCCAAGAGACTTTAAAAAAGCTTGAAAACACACACACACACACACACACACACACACACACGCAGACACAGACGCACACGTTCAGAAATACCTCAAGAATCCTTCCCAAGTAAAAAAATAAAGCTTTCTTCAAGTTTATGTGAGGAATTAAAGATAAAATACACCTTACAGGTGGCTAAAATGGAGGGCAACAACAACATGTGTGGGAAGCATACACATTTTTCTTTTAAAAACTTTTTTATTTAAATTCAATTATTAACATATAATGTATTATTGGTTCCAGGGGTAGAGTTCAATGATTCAGCAGTCTTGTATTAACACCCAATGCTCATCACATCTTGTGCCCTCCTTAATGTCCATCACCCAGTTACCCCATCCCCCCAATTCCCTCCCCCTTCAGCAACCCTAAGTTCGTTTCTTATGATTAAGAGTCTCTCATGGTTTGTTTCTCTCTCTGATTTTGTCTTGAGCATACATATTTTTCTCTTTTTTTGACTAATATTAAAGGTAGTTTCAACTTCTGAATTCACAAGGAGCTCTGCAGCAGAAAAGTCCGTCTCTTAACTTTGTAGAAGTTTTGTTATTGGCCAAACTTGCTCCCTGCTTCAGTTTTGACAACACTCCATGTATACTTCAGCACAGGATGACTTTACATAAGGGACTCCTTCATGGTGTTTCTTGGGAGCACCATTTACATCTGGTGTGTTTGAAATGAAGTTTTCTTGGGCAAATGAGTTTTGGCAAAATGCTGAATATCATGTCACTTTGGAGAGTTATAATCAGCATTCACAGATCAAAGACTGGGGGAAGTCTCCACACGAAGGAATTTGTTCAACCTTGATGCTAGCATTCCTCTGAGTTCACTGTTAGCCCAAACAGAACAGGACCCTTGTCAGCAGCCATAGGTGGTGGTGGTGATTTTACTTACTATTATATCACTGGGGTCTAGAAAAGGTCCTGGCATATAGAAGGTATTATTTTATTATTTTTTAAAGATTTATTTGTTTATTTGGGTGAGAGGAAGAGGTTGTGTGACTGGGGGGAGGGGCAGAGGGAAGGAATCTTCAAGCAGACTTCCTGCTGAGAACGGGCCCACTTGGGGCTCAATCTCACAACCCATGAGATCATGACCTGAGCTAAAACCAAGAGTCAGACACTTAACTGATTGAGCCATCCAGGTGCTCCTATGTATTTATTGAATGAATCAGTTTGCTGCCTTTGTTTTGCCCTTTCAACATTTACTGATGTTCTATACTGGTGATTTGGCTACACTACACCATGGTGGCTCAAGGGTGTCCATGGTGCCTTTTTTATGCTGCCACTTAATATTTATGTCTGTGCCGTATTTTCTTTGATCTGCTGATTTCTCTTTGCTTTCCCTTATATGTCACCGGGCACAGGGGCTAACACATAGAAGGGGATTTATAAATCTTAATTAAAAGACAGTGCTTTTCTGACAAAAACAATAATAGGTACCGTTTATTGTGTATTTATAAGGTGGAAGGCACTTTCCTGGATCCTGACATTCCTTATTTTATTTGCTCCATACAATGCCATTTCAGGTGAGTTTTATTAGCCCTCTTTTAATGGGTGAGTTACAGGAGGCCTAAGGAGACTAAATGCCTTTTATACTAGTGTCAACATTTTTAAGCAGCCAGAGATGTTGCAAGATTATATGATGCAGTGGTTCTCCAGTGTCCATCTTTGTCACTGGTTATATCTGACACTTATAAATACAGTGAACTGGGTTCCCTTCTAGGAGATTCAGATCCGTGGGCCTCAGATGATGCCTAGAATGGTCAATAAGCTCCTCTAATGCTGCCGATGCAATTATAAGTTTGGAATTCATTATTTCTAGTCCATCTCTTTATTTTGAAAGGAGGAAACTACCATCTAGAGAGGTTCGCTCAAGGTCACATATCAAATGTGGCAGATTTTTTTTTTCCTCAAAGAGTCACAAAAATATCTTCCAATCCACATGCTCTTCAAGAGCCTTAGCACTCCCCCATCAGAAAGAAGGATCCATGTCTCCTACCCTTGAGTCCCGGTGGGCCATCATGGCTGCCTTGACGAATAGGGTGGAATGGAAAATAACACTGCATGACTTTTAAAGCTAAGCCAGAAAAATGCTATGTACTTTGGCCTTGTTCTCTTGGTGTGCTAGCTTTTGAAACCTAGCTCTAAGAAAGTCCACGCCATCTGTGGAGAGGCTGACATGCCTGGATAGGAACTGGGGCCTGCAGCCCCGGAGCCTTGGCTGAACTCTAGACTCCACTAACAAATACCACCAACTCTGTGAGTGGATCCTCCCACCCTCAATCAAGCTGCCTTAGTGAACACCACATGGAGCAGAGACAAGCCATCCCTTGCTGAGCCCTGCTCACACTGGGGCTTTGGGAATAAAATCACTGATCACTGTCATTTGAACTAGGTTTTGGGGTCATTTGTACCCAACAATAGATAACTGATAGATCAAGGTCATGTTTGAGTCAAGATTCGTATTGACTTTCATCATGTGGTGAAGCAGCAGCAGCAACTTATAATTATTCTGTCTTGCCCGGGTTCAGCATATGACCAGCTTTGCCATCTACTGGCTTTGTGATATTGAATGCAGCCTTCACTTCTCTGAATCTTCCCCTCCTCCTATAAGATGGAAATAATACCTATGTCATCAGACTAAATGAGACGTCATGGGTAAACATGAACATATATGTGTGTTATCAAACACACACATGTATATATGTTATGATTATTACTATGGCCCAGGTCCATGGAGGTTAACAAACACCAGGATGATTCTTATTTTATATTTTCAAAGAAGGGTCAAGAAGGAAAATTTGTTTGCTGTTTGGGTAATACCATCTGCAAAGTCAGTCATATACAGAGTTTCTTGAGCTACCTCCTAAGTGACTGTGCGAGTGTCAGAGAGCATGTGTGAGAGAAAGGGAGGGAAAGATTAGAGCTCAGAGAGTTTCTCTGGGTGTATACTGGCTGCAGGCTATCCTCATTAAAATGATTGGAAATGACCACAGAGGCAGAGCTCTGCTAGCCTGGATTTTCCCCCCCCCAACAGAAGGCAAGTAGTGCGTTTTAGAGCTAGCTCAGCAATTCAGCCACCTTGACACGCTAATTACTTGCACTGCCTGTCAGGCTGGGTATCTCAACCTCCGCAATTAATAGCTCTACTTTCAATAAGCAAAATTGTATTTGACTTCAAAAGGGAACTGAATGAGTATCAGGGCATTTTTATTACCGAGAGTTTCCTTTGGGAGTTGGCTGACAGTGTGGGTGGTAAAAATGAACAACATATTGGAAGGGAGATTTTTCCAGAACCAACACTGACGGAAGGGTTGACGACGTCCTGGTCTAAAACAGGCCCTCCATGGATCTTCTCCTTGCTTACCTGACTTCAGAAGCAGAATTTGATCATTCTGACAGAGCTCCATGAAGCCCGTTATCCGCTTTGCGAACTCAACCACATACTGGATGGCGTGAGTGATCTGGATGGCACATTGTTGCCATAGTGCTTCCCTGGACTTCAAGAGAGAAAACACAGAATGTATACAGAGCAAGGAACATCTTGGAAAGTCAGTGAAATAATCAGTTTCCCTATCAGTGCTTCTCTTAGGGCCCAAGGCCGGAATTTACCCAATTCCTTTAAAAGAGGTAGACAATATTTTCCAACATATTGTTCTGACATGTTTGAACCTGATATGCCACAGTTATCAATGTGCTGAGACCAGAATAATGAAAACATTGCAATAATATGTAAGGATAGATATTTAGAGTCTCTTTACTCTTTATCCCAAACAAACTTTGTCCATTTTGTGAAAACCAACTCTTGCATTGAGGAAGAGTGATTTTGTTCCCAGGCTTCTAGATAGCTATTTTCATGTGCACCTAACACTAAACTTGTATGATTTTTGCATTGTATCCAGAACTTATGGAGAGGGCTTTTTGGTATAAAAAGAATTTTACAAGGTAAAGTCTTCAAGTCAAATCACTCTCTGAAGTAATTTAAAATCTCAGAAATGTCTCTTGATCCTTGGGTTATTTTCTTTGGAATGAGAAGCATAAATCCATGTGTATGAATTCTGCCTTTTATTGACCATCGTAATATCTATGTTTTGTCTCCTTAATATAGAAGTGGTAAGATTTAATTATTCCATTGGAGAAAAATCAGTATGTTATTTAATTTATATATCTTTTAAGGTTTTATTTTAAAGTAATCTCTACACCCGATGTGGGACTCGAACTCATGATTTCAAGATCAAGAGTTGCATGCTCTACTGATTGATCAAGCCGATGCCCCTCATATATTTAGATACAGACACATTTATGTTTTTTATTTAAAATTTCATTTGCTAGTAGATCTTATAATTGTGGCTCTCAATCCCAAAGGAAAGTAATATGACTATATAACAGCAAATTCTCTTAAAAACTTCTTTATTGGACACAAAGTAATAATCAAAATAATAATAATGAGATATCTTTTTTCTCTTTGGTCCTTTTTAACATGTAGGGCAAGAAAAAAAACATTTAAGATGCTTTACTGCATATCTTTGTAGCACAAATTTGCAACTATTATTACTGCTATAATTTCTCAACTGTTTCTCTTCCTTGGCTGGCCCCAGGAAGCCACCATGAAAAGTCCTAAAGTCATTTGATGTGGGCACAGGCTCCCTGGTCCCTCAAATAGGGCACTGTTTTTTAATTGGGGTAGTTTTGCCTCTCAGGGAACATTTGGCAATATTTGATTGTCACAACAGTGTACAAGGGGTTGCTACTGACATCTCATGGGGAGAGACTAGGAATGATGCTAAGCATCCTACAGTGTACGGGACAGTCCCCACACAAAGAATTATCCAGCCCCAAATGTCAGTAACACTGAGGTTGAGAAAGCCAGAAATAGAGAAATCCCAGGGAAAACATTCTCCTAGTTTCCCAAAGTACCTTGCTTTGATACGCTTTAATTTCTTCATAGGTGTGTGTCTGCCATGCCAGCTGGTGTAGCTCCTCCATGGTGTACTGACATGTCTCCAGATGGGACTTAATGATGTTCTGTGCAATTCGATCTGTGAGAAGGAATATCAGTTTGAGGGGTTGTGAATAAATTCTCACTCTGCAAAGACACTAGCTGCGAATGTTTACTACAGGAATCCCATTGGAGACACTCCAATTGCATGAGTGTCTTTAACACTACTATCTATCTATCCCCTATTGTCTTTTTTTAAAAAAATATTTTATTTATTTATTTGAGACAGAGTGGGAGAGAGTGCACAAGTGGGGGGTGGGGTGGGCAGAGGGAGAGAGAGAAGTAGATTCCCTGCTGAGCAGGGAGCCAGACTCCGGTGAGATCTCAGGACTCCAAGATCACGACCTGAGTGGAAGGTAGATGCTTAATCAACTGAGCCACCTAGATGCCCTTCAATTTTAAGTCTTGTAATCAAAATTTACCACCTTTTCCTCCCCCTTTGAGTCAGAAACCTGAGGCCTTAAAAGTTGTAAAGTGTTCAAATGATTATTTTTAAAATAAATACTAATGACAATATTTCCTGCTTTTCAGCCTAGAAGTCCACTAACAGTCTTGACATTTAGAACCCAAAGACTTTAAAGTATTTTGAAAATCACTAGAGTCCCACTGTTTATCTCAGAAAGAGGGAATTTAAATATAACTTCAATGGCTTATATTTTTAAAGAGAAGATAAAAATCTAAAAAGATAAATTTTCTATAAAGGAAAGAGAAGAGAGTAGAAGGGCAGAGGCTAGACACTCTGATATTTTTGTAGATTGGACTTTGGAACCATATCTTATATGACAAATAATGGGAGAGGGGATATAAATGAAATAGTGTTGACTCATGAGATGATAATTATTGAAGTATAAAAAAGTAGGAACAAACAAAGTCAGTCTTTTGGGCCATTCATCTCAAATGAGTTGTATTTGGCAATGTTTCTTAAATACTGAACATTCTGGTTTTGGAAGTATGGAAGTTGAGCTATAGAACCAGACACAACAGTTCTCCTTAAAAACCTGCAACGGGTCCCCTGCAGTTAGACAGAGCTGGTAGGAGGTTTCCCTCAAATCCCCTCTGCTTTTTGAGCATATCAAGAGCGTGAGATCTTGGGAATCAAAGTACACAGGAATTCTAATATGGGCAGGATGAGTAGAATGAAGAAGACCAAATTTTCTGCCTGATAACTATTCTTGGCTCATACAGAAATAGAATTTTTCTAGTGTTTCAGGTTATGCCATTTCAAATGCAATTTCTGTTCTTTCTAAATAGCCGTATTTCATTCCTTCAGGATAACTCCCAAAGCAGTGTTGAGATAACTTTTTATTTTTTTTAAGATTTTCTTTATTTGAGAGAGAGAGAGAGAGCAAGAGAAGAGTATAAGCAGGGGGAGGGGTAGAAGGAGAGGGAGAAGCAGGCTCTCCACTGAGCAGGGAGCCCGATGTGGGGCTCAATTCCAGGACCTTGAGGTCATGACCTAAGTGGAAGGCAGATGCTTAACCAACTGAGCTTCCTAGGCACCCCAAGGTACCTTCTTTTTACCTTGCTAAGCTTCTGGTATATGTGGCATAAAGTATGTTGAGTTTTGGTGATGTAGGGAATAAAAACATGTAAGCTTGTGCCTCTAATGAGCTTTCCAAATAAAAAATCTTATATAGCCCATTGCCTGGTATATTGGAAACACTGAATAAATGGTAGCCACAATGATCATTATTAGGATGTTCTATAGAATTTCTCATTAGAGAAGCAATGGGATGACTCCAATTGACACAAAACAGAGATGTTTAATTTTGGAATCAGTGCTACTGGAGGAAGATATTTCAATATTTATTAGGGTTTTTCAATCAGAACCATTAAGTGCTAGATATAGAAGATTCTACAGAATGCTAAATTATGATTATAGGATGTATTGGATTCAGCATTGAGCTGAATGAATTTCTAGACTTTCATTGCTTATCATTCTAAAATCCCTTCTTAAAAAAATCCTATATTCAAAATTTTATTGAATATCCTCCTATGTTGTAAAAAAAAGACAGGAATTACTTTATACATCATATTAAAATAGATTGGTATGTCATGGTTCATCATTTTTCAATTTCACTTGGGCAGTCTAATTACTTAGAATCTCAAAAAAAAAACCCATATCTATTCCTCAGTAAGTATATAATGAAAACATAAGATTTCTATGGCTTTCTAGCTTTCAAACCTTTATCTTCTTGGTGTAGTCTGTTTTCATCTTCAAAGATATGCTGATTTGTCAGTAATTTACAGGCTTCAGGGTTTATAAGCAAAACTACAACTGCCACTCAAAATTGCATTATGAAAAACTCTTTATCTATTCCTTTATGACATCTCCTGGGAGCTACTGGCCAAAGTTAAAAAAATCTCTAGCCTTCTGACACCAAAGTTTGGGGTCCTATGGGGTACAAGGAGAAGTTGGGCATAATAAATACATGGACAGATTAAGCAAAATTGGAAGTAAAATCCACACACATGCTTTAGGACTCAGCTCAGACATGCACTCCCTGTGAAGATTTCCCTGCTTCCCTGTGTCCTCAGGTAGAGGGGTAAGTTTCTGTTATACTTGATTCTCTGGGTCTTTATTCCACTCACACTTGCATTGTGGTTATTTGTGTGGATTTCTTTGTCTCATATCCTTCAAGATCGTGTGTGCTTTTCAAGAACTGGGTTGCCAAGCCCAGCATAATGCCTTCAAATACTCATTCAGCAAACATTTTTTAAAAATGATTATATACCAGGTTAAGTTACAGATTTTTTTAAAAAGGTCTTTTTTTAAGGGTCTTACAATATCATATATCATATATCATATCATATATCTTATAATGCTGTAATAAATGCCCTTGAGTTATTGTGGGAGCCCAAAGAACAATGTATCTAACTCAGTCTAGGGGAAGCAGAAAAATAAGATGCATGTTGGTCTGGTCTGAGTGGGGGTTTGTCACGTGGAAAAGACACAGGCATGGATAGAAAGCTAGTTAGGAGCTAGATAATTTCTGCTGTTTATAATCTTTACCTTTTACAACCAATTTCCCTTTTACTGAGGGAAAGAGTGAGTGACTCTAGACCCATTTTTATAGAGCTAGCAAATGGTGATTTGAAATCAGATCTGTCTTTTCTGGCAAGAACTCTGTTGTGCTTGCAGCATAGAGCTTGAGAGAGATGGGAGAAATGAGCCTGGGGAAGGAAACTGGCACCTAGGACCCAACAGCTGAGTAAGCCAGGCTGAGGAAGATGGATGTTATCTTTAGGAAACTGGGAGCTGGGACACCTGGGTGGCTCAGTGGTTGAGCATCTGCCTTCGGCTCAGGTCGTGATCCTGGGATGGAGTCCTGCTGCTTCTCCCTCTGCCTAGGTGTCTGTCTCTCTGTGTATGTCTCTCCTGAATAAATAAATAAAATCTAAAAAAAAAAAAAAAAAAAAGGAAAAAGAAAAGAAAACTGGGAGGTAGTGGGAGCTGTGAAGCAGGAGGGTGATATGGTCAGGTTTCTGTTTTACAAAGGTCATCTTAGCCAAGGCAAAGAAGATGAAGTGGCATGAGGGAGTACTTGAGATTAATCAGGCTGTGGTGAGAAGTCATGCAAGAGATGAGCCTCCGGATTCAGGACAGTCCTGAAACAGGATACACAGGACTAGCAGGTGGCAGTGAGAGAGACAGCCGCATCCACCAACGTTGAGTTAGGACAGGTAATAGTGAAAACGTCCATCCACCCACCCTTTCTTCCATTTTCTGCTTTGTTTCACAAAGGATTTGAGAAAGCGTGTCCTGTCCTGTGTCAGATGATCTTCAAGCCTAAGCGCTCACAAGGGCTTGGTGGTCACACATGGAACGCTGCCTACTATTTCCCACACCCCCGTGGCGAGAAATAAAAGGCAAATCTCTGTTCGATGTAAGAGTTATTATGAATGTCAAGGCCCAGGAAGGCACGGGGGTAGCGGCTGCAAACCGCCCAGGCCCCCGCAAGGCTCAGGTCCCTAAAGCACGGGGTAAAGCGAGCCTCGGTCCCCTGGGAGCAGGGCCTGAGGCCGCCTTCTGTCCCCTGGAAAGATGCTCGGCCGTCAGAGGAGATGGTTTCCCGGGACTGAGAGGCTGCGGTTGTGAAAAGGGGAGAAAGGAAGAAAGGATTTGAGAGGAAGGGACAAAGGGAGCCACAAAGAATACAGTATGCAAAGTTCCTGCTAGAAGCCAAAGGAACTTGCAAGAGTCCTTGCCTGGAAAAATAGAAAAGGTAATAGTAAACGCGGCCCTCTCCAGGGAGCGACCACATGAGAAGTCCGGACAAAGAGACTGAGCTCAAAGAGCGGAGGATACGGAATCTTTCTGGGCAATCGCACACCCTTCATCCGTTTCCCGGACTTGGGTTGCAGACCCTGGTCAGAGCCTAGTTTTCCTCGGATTCCTTCACCAGCTTGGGCTGCGGAGTGCGCATGTTAAAGGGGGAGGGCGCCCCACTGTTCTGGGGTAAGGGTTTCGTGGGGAGTATGGCCCAGATGACTGCCAAAGGGGAAAGTCTCCCACCTGCAGAGGCAATGAATGTCCATGAACTCTGCCCTGTTCTCCCCGGGATCAGGGATGATCTAGAGGTTTCTTAAGTGGAAATGAAGAGTTAGCTAGCTACCTTTTCTCAGGAGTTAAGATTCTGTGTATGAACAGTGAGATAGAGGTTTGTCCAATTCACTCCAAGTACGCAGGCTGCTTTGATGGTTCATAAAATGATGTCAAGGAATGAGAAAAACAATCTGATATGCTCCATCTAGTCATTTCTTTTCAATCACCGGTGAGGTGAAATGCAAACACTGATGCCGCCAGGAAAAACGGTGTGTTCATGTCAAGTCTCTGAGTCTTGTTTTTTATTTTTTAATTCCACGAACAATGTTTTGCTCTCACTTTCTGTCCACACCCCTCTCCCCTAATAAAGTTGCTGTTTTGCTTTTGGAACTTTGATCCTGATACTTTTCTTGAAGGAAGTTTGGTTGGAACTCAAGGCATAACTGACTAGCAAAATTCGTAACTCCAAGTATTAAGTAACTTTCTTTATGAGA